ATGTAGATATGATGGCAATCCATGAAGAGACTCATAATTGGTTGATGTTCAGAGAACAAGAGACTGGAGTGCTTATCTGTTAATGGGTTATCTATATCATACCCTCATTCCAAATCGAAGGGATCATGTAGGAAGGGGCAGCAGAAAACATTGTAAGAATTAGAGACAGTGGGCATCTGTAGGGGAACAGTATTTGCTGGACATGACAGTCCAGTTGCATGTATGAATTCTCAGTGTCCGGGACTATATGCACAAGACCTGCATAAAATCAAGCCAGCCAAAAATCATAGCATGGCTGGGAAGGGAAACATTCTATCTTGCAATCAAGCTTATTAAGACAGAAATGGCTCAGGAAGTCCCTGAAACTGACCGGATTTTCTAGGCCACTCCCTCCCCAAGAGTACATAAACAGAGAAGACTGCTAACAGACTCAGAAAACCAAACCAAAAATAAGACTCTTAGACAAGCCAGTCAGTCTAGAAGTAGAGACCAACAGAGCAACTTGAAACCAGCAGAGAGCGGCTGAACTGCCTAGAAGAAAGAAAAACCAGCCAGTCTACCATCCAGCCAGTTGGTTCAGACCAACTGGGCTACATGGAAAGGACATTCTCCAGCCTGTTGAGCTGCTTGTAGGCTATGCAGTGTGCTCCAGGTTTCCAGCTTTAGTGAGCGGTCACCCATGCTGGAGGGGGCTTTGGTGATGAAGCTGTATTTGAGTAATTTTGTTCCTGTAAGTAACCCCTTCCCCATATTCCTGTAAGTAACCCCAATAAAACCCATTGGTTCATCAAGTTTGACTTGAGAGTATCATGGGTTTCCTTTCTCAAGTAAGCAGGCATAGGTGTTGCAATTCCCCAGGAAAAGTCTAGTACATAAGATCTTCAAAAAATCCCAGCATCGATAGGGGAGGGCCTCCTGAAGCTCATCTGAATCTCAGGAGCTACTGGCAGTTGACTGCTGCTGAGGGAAGGAGAGTCAGTCTTCTTAGTGATGAAGGCTCTGAGGGATGACTTATGCACAAGTAATTATCCAACATCCGTGTGCACAGATAGCGTTAAATGGACCCAGTGGGTATTAAAAAAAAGCACATAAAGTTGGGAGAAAAAAGTGGTGGGGAGAGAGGAGAGGAAGTACAGGGAAGGAATGTAGGGCGGATTTCATTCTCACTGGCAAAGATCACATAGACCAACTGTGAAAGGATGGAAAATTATATGCAAATCGATCCAAAGCCCAAAATATGCAGAAGCAGCTGTACTCAAGTCTATAAAAATAGAGTCCAGGGAAAACTCGTCCAGAAGAGAGAAAGAACACTACTACATATTAATAAATGGAGAAATCTTTCTAGAACATAAAACAAATATTTTTCCCCTGATCTTTGAAACACACAGTGTTCATAAAGTTTCATAAAATGAATATTATTGGACTTAAAGGGATAAATAATCCATGATACAATAAGAGTAGGTGGATTCAATACACTACTGTCATCAGTTGATACATCTCTTAGGAAAAAAAAATCAATAAGAAAACCACATAGTTAAATGTACCTCTGA